TTATTGCGGAGTTGAATTTCCGCCTGATTTGTCTCATCGGGGGGTGGAATGGGTCGACGTTCAGCTTATGTATCGCTATCTCCTTTGGGATACCTGGCATGTCTGCATGGGAAAAAGCAAACAAGTCTGCATTACAGTTTAAGAATTGACGGAATTTACTTCGTTCTTGAAGCTTGTGGTCGATGTAAGCTTTCTTGCTGTAGTCGTTATCATCGAGCTGGACGGGATCGAGGTCTTCTACGGTTGACCCTTTGGCTTATATGACTTCGGGGTCTTTGATCACATCCTTCTCGTCACTGCTCGACCTCGACCCTGTTGATTGCTATGCTTCTTTTGCTTTACCCTTCATGTGCTGGGTGTACGTGCAATCATGGGCGATGCGATAGCATTCCCGGAAAGTGCAATGTTCTCCTTGAATGTTGTGTATTCCCCATGGGGTGGGAAATTTTATGATCCGGTACAAGCTGGAGGGAATGACTTTCATGGCGTGTATCCAAGGCTGACCTATTATGGCGCTATACGTTGTGTCCTGGTCCATGATGTGGAATGTTGTTTCCAGGGTGACGCCACCAGCCAGGACGGGGAGGGTGATTTCTTTAGAGGTTTGCTCAACTGCATTGTTAAAATCAATTAGTGTTATGCGGTGTGGCACTATCTTATCCTCGAGTCTCATCTATGCAAGCACTTGAGGGTGAATAATGCACGCGCCGCCCCTGTCGTCCACCATAATTCGTCATACAGATGTATCTAATATGCGTAAAATGATAACAAGAGCATCATAGTGAGGGAAAACCAAACCGTTGGTATCAGACTTGTCGAAGATGACACTTTCTTCGAGTTCGTCGTACCGTTCGTGAGTGATCGACCGCTTGAGTTTGTGGGTGGTGGTGAACTTCACGCCGTTGATTGAGGAGTCGTCGCCCCCTCCGATGATCATTTGAACGGTTCGAGTTGGGGAAGTTGGGTAGTCCCTGATGTTGTTCACGTCCTTGAGCAAAGTTTGCTCTTTTTCGATCGCTCAAAAGTTCTTTCAGATGCCCTTGGTAAAGCATGTTCACGACATCTAGCCTTAGAGCAATGCAGTCCTCGGTTTTGTAGCCCCATTCCTGATGGAATTCGTAGAGTGCGTTTGACTTTCTGGTGTTTGGGTCGGACTTCATCTTGTGCGGCCACTTCACTTTTGGGCCAAACTTCTCCAGGACGTAGACTATTTCTGAGGGAGAAACGCAAAAATTATGAGCAGATAGTAGTGGTGGCATACCTCTTTCACTTTGGTGAGTCCCTGTTGGCGACCTAGATGAGTCGTCGCCATAACGGGGAGGTGGTATGACAGCGGCTCTGACATATGGTTGATGTCTTTCACGGTTGGGTCACGGGCCTGCATGGTCCCTTCTGTTGTCATTCTTCGGTCTTTCGTGGGTTTCATTTGGACTGACGTCAGCGGTTGAGTTGGCCCGTTGAGGTCGTCCTCGTCAGCTTGTACTTCGGCGTAGTAGGCATTGTGTATCTCGCCCCAAGTGGTTGGGGGATACTTTATGAGTTGGATTAGTAATTTTCTGGTCGCCCTCGAACCGTTCTGTTTAACCCGTTCTGGAAAGCTGCTACTGCCATTCCCTCTGATATATTTGGTAAGGTCATCCTCACACGGTTGAATCGGGCGAGGAAATCTCTTAGCCCTTCACCTAGTGACTGTTTAATGGCAAAAATGTCATTCATCCTCGCCTCTGCTTTTTTAGCCCCGGCATGGGCAGTTACAAACTTGTCAGCCATTTCCTCGAACGTCTCTATGGAGCATGCAGGTAGCTGTGAGTACCAAGTTAGTGTTCCCACGGTGAGGGTTTCGCCAAACTTCTTCAGTAATATGGCACTTGTTCTTTGGCGAGGTCGTTGCCTTTTACTGCGGTGACATAGTGGGTCACATGATCCTCAGGGTTCGTCGTACCATCGTATATTTTCAAGTGCGGCAGCATTTTGAAGGTTTTAGGTATGGCATATGGTGCAACTTCTTCACTGTACGGTTGCTCAACGAACTGGCCGGCGTCCCATTTTGGTAAGAGTTTTGGGGCGCTTGGTATTTTGTCTACCCTTTCTTGATGCTCTTTCATTTGGTCACGGAACATTTTGTTTTCGTTCTCCATCTCCTCCATCTTCCTCAAAATGGCTGTGAGAGTGTCGTTACCTGCATCACTAACGATGTGAGTAATACCTGTCACAAGAGTAGGGTCGTGCTGCTTGTCTATCACTGGTGCTACGCAGACTCTCGCATTTTCTCTATTCGTCCTTTGGGCGGGCTTGTCGAGAATGCTGGTCAGCGTGATTGTCAACAACGCCTGAAGCCGCTTTTTCACTACTGGTGGTGCCTCTTCCATTGTGGATGTAGAGGCCCCTTTACCGTGTGAGGTTGTGATGCTGCCGTGAGGGAGGGGTGAACCACTCCGCCCGGGGGAGGCGTTTGGTGTCATGTCCTCAGTGTATGTTCCAGTGACTTCGTTGATGGTGTTTAGGAGGTTGGTAGTAATACTGTTGCTTTCATTCTTTCCTCTCCATTACCTGCCATGTTAAACTATGCACACAAGAAAAGACAAGGTTTTGTGTTGCTTTCTTTTAGATCTGAATGAAACTAAGACTTTGACTGGAAAATCCCACAGACAGCGCCAAATTGTTTGATCAAAAAATATAATTCTTTGGTTAAACTAATTAAATAAAAGGATAAGGGGTTAATCCTAGTTAAAGATAATGACCTTAGATCTAAAATCGTTTTACGCGGATAACGTAGGACCACGTCGGAGTGGATTCAATGCAATACACATTAAATGCTACGGTTATTAATGAAATGAGAATAATGATAAGCAATAAATAACAATAAATGACACTAAATATAAATAGAGAGAATGATTCACCCAATATTGAATGAGGTGGATGATTCCTCTTTCTGACAATGTTGTAAGACAAACAACTATGAAAATATTGGAGACTTTCTCGAATCTGATGTGAAAAGTATAGAATAAACAATGAACCGAATCTCTTTGGAAAAGCAGTGTTTGTATTTATCTAGAGAATCAACTTTTCAAGAGAGTTCTTGTCAAAATAATAATACATGCCCCTTACCTTCTCTCTTCCTTTCTATTTATATGGGACATGCTCCTAATCTGACCTAAAGTACAAGTACAGGGAATATTCAATGGAATATTCTCCCAAATATCCTATTACAAAACTAGCCGTCACTGTTGACTTAAACATTTGACCTCGGCCATGACCAACAGCTCGGTAGTAAATTCCATTAACCTTTCATTCGTCCTCGGCCTAATCACCTCTTAGTAATTTCTCCTCGTGGCAGATTCCCTTAGTCAGATTTTGACTCATACAGATATTGGGATAATATCTTGTTACTTGAAAGTAAAATGTAAAAATATATAAATTTGACCTGCGCTGGACTTAAACGGACTTAAATGGAGCGACATGAACTTTATATAATTGATTCCAACTTGTTAGATGATGAGGCCTGATTGTACTTGAACATTTGATGAATTATTTGGATTGGTCTAAAAGGCTACCTATTTGTGTGCTATATTATTGATTCTTGTAGCTTATAGTTGAGAAGTGAGGTCCTGTCCTTCACTCCTTCAATCAATGCTTTATGTTTAAAAATTCTCAGCAATCAATGCTTTATTTGAACTTGTATTCTTGTATTTTCCTTGCATCTATCCCAAAACACTTGCTTGTTGAAGTGAAAATGTATGTATTGTTGAGGTCCTTAGTGACGTTAGACTCTTGCAAACTTAGGCTAAAATAGTACCACAAGATTTGCGTAAAGTTTGTGCACTTTTAACCTGCTTTGCGCTTAATCCGACGCTTCTTCGAGCCCTAACATAGTGCAGTGTGAATCAAAAACATGTTTTAGCAGATATAGATGTGAATTAGCGAGAATGCAACTACATTATAGGCTACAATATATGTGTCTTGCAGTACAATATGTGGAGCATATTTTAGTTAGAAGCAAAATCAGCCAAGGGGTTATTTTTATGCAAGGTGGAATCAGACAGCAACTAATGTGCTAGTGTATTTAAAGGCTCTAAAACTCCACCGCAGAAGATGATCTATTATGTGTTCCTATTTTGATTTGCTTGCAGCTATAAATGAGATGTAATAGCAAGTTTGCGCTCTTGAAATTTTGATACTTGTACCAGGGCATTATGGAGTAAGCCAAGAAGTGGATTCATTAAGCTCATGAATTCTGATGGCTGTTTGAAAGGGAACCCTGGCATTAGTGGGTGAAGGGGAGTTATTAGAGCTGACACTGGGGATTTGGTTGCAGCTTTTGCAGCCAACTTTGGTTCAAAGCAATGCTGCTGCTGAAACTCTTGTTATTCACATAGGAATTGATTGGTGCAGTCGAAAATGGATATCTCAGAATTGGTATTGAGGCTTACCAATTAACTGGATATCAGACAAAATTACTAGACTATGGAATTTAATCTCTCTGGTGCAAATATCATTGCTACAGGGAAGCTAATGATGTAGCAGACATTATGGCTAACTAGGGAGCTAAGATGGCCACACAAGCAAGATAGTTCTATGAATATTCACTCATTATCGGAACCTGCAAAGGGACATCTCAAATTGGAGAAGATGGAAATACCTAATTCCAGAATCAGGCAAGTCAAAAGTTCTTTTTGCATAGGTGAATTATGTATACAAGATGTAACATTTTGTAAGTTCATTGTAAAGGAGGGGAGTCCCCTCATTCTTTTCCCAATGCTAACATCTTATCATACTCACCATCACTATATATTTCGTCTAGCTTTTTGTAAGGATTGAGCAAGTTCAATTCCTGCGTAGATTATGAAGAGTTAAGGCACTATTTCCCCTGTCTTCATGTGTTTCACTTTCGTATTTCAATATACGGGTAGAGGTCTATGCCTAACACCTGCGCAATCCAGCTTTATTTTTTTATTTTTTTTGAAGAGATAATGATCATGTTCAGTGTCTCATTCTCACCCTTGTCAAACACGCATCCCAGAAAAGCTAGGAACATGGAGATCTCTTTATTGGTATTGTCCACTTATTACATATTCCAAAACTCTTCCTCTTTAGTCAAATGCCAAATGCAAATACATAGTGCAAATAAGAAAAAACAATCCTATATTACCCAACAGTTTTAAAAGACTGATGGATGTGCCTCAGGGTGTCTTGATCCTTCTTCCATTCTGGCGCTGGCGCATTGACAAAATGAGCATACAGCTTGTTCTTAGCACAAGTAACAGTTATCAAGCTATGTGCAGTAACTCCATCAATTTCATAGTCATAATACAATTGCCCATTTTCGTCTTTCCTCTCTTCTGATGTAACACTATCAGCATTAGCAATGATGTCTTGCAAATTCACATCTGATAAAGCCAAATTATTCAAGACAGCATCTTTAGGTGCTAATTGCCTAAACCCTGCAAGATAAGTAAGGTATTCTTTCTCTGTCTTCTTCTTTGGGTTATAAAACTCACTGTCCGTACCATTTGTTCCCTTCTCAACTTTTGACACCAGCCGCTCTTTCCATCCATCCGGGACATCGTAAATGTACTCGGCCGACGCCTTTTTGTCGGAGTTTCCACCGTAGCCGCCGTAGTTGGCGGCGCTAGCTGCTGTGCCATAGTAAATGTGGTAGGTTGTGGGAGAGTCTGCTAGTGACGGGGAAGTGGTTGTTAATATTGTGGTTGCTAATGCTGTGGCTGTTAAGGTGGTGGTTAATTTGATTAGAAGTGGTTTAGAGGGTGGTGGTGAAAGGGTGGCGTGGGGTCCCGAAAAGGGTGGTGGAATTGGTGGTTTTGTGGTGGTAGTGGTGGTGGTAGTGGAGGAGGAGGAGGAGGAGGAAAGGAAAGATGAGGGGTGGAGAATGGTTGCCATTGGAATATTGGATTGTTTGTGAAATCAAGGGATAGGCTATTATTATTGAGGGTTTGTCATAAGAATATATCTTATCCACTTAGCGAGGGGATACTTGGTGAAACTGGCCAATTGTAGCCAATCATCATTTGTGGATTGTGCCATGTCATATTTGCTTCTTTGTTATAATAGTATATGTTTTTTTAAATTTAATTACAGGGAAAGTCACAATGATATGTTCTTAGCTTGATCTTGGTATAGAAAAACATGCTCCATTCAGCAGGAGGAATCAGAATTAAAGTTTGTATATATTCTTTTTAAGTTATAAAAAAGTTCTAGATTAATAATTTGTATATATTCAATAAATTATTTTTGAAAGAATTACAAGAAAATACACATGACTTCACACCATAACAAAAAATTGCCCATGTTTTAAGCTTTACCCGACCTAGCCCATATTGTACATATTTTGAAAACACTAGCTCTTGCAAATTCAAAATTTGTGTTCTTACAACCATTGCTTCTAAAAGCTATGGAGTTAAATTTGTGTTCTCACAACTATTGCTTTCACTCTCTCATCTTCCCACATCTTTTACATATGCTAGGGCCCGTTCGCCATTACTGCTTCTCCCCCTATGTCACCTGGTTGCAATGTAAAATAATAAAAGAGTAGAAGTCCACCATTGAAGGTCATTCAAAGTTTTGCTTTTGAAAATAGAATTTTTTGAGTTTGTTAGTTGTTTGGATTGGGTGTTGTTCCAATTGATTGAAAATATCAAAAGGATTTCAAAACTTAAATTTGAAGTGATTTGGAGTAGATTTGAGCAAGATTTGAGTTAAATTTCAGAAAAAACGCAAGGAAGAAGACGAAGTCAGTTTTTCGTATAATTATGTATAATCTTGTATAATAGTGTATATGAGTGTATAAACACATCTTATACACTTTTATACACCTTTATACAAGCGTCTGTAGACGAACTTCTTCCACGATTTTCAGTTGCAATTCTTGTTCAAAACAAGTCCAAATCTCCATTAAATGACTTCAAATTTTATATACAACCTCCTTATACTATTTCTAACAAGTCTAAATAATACCTACTCCAAATTTCTCACAAAATCAAATTCGGAATTTAAACCCACATATTTAAGCTTGTTAAAAATCTAATTTTCACCACCCAAATGGATTTGGTTTGTTCAACTAATATTTGAGTCACTGTTACTGATTCAAAAATTAACTTCAAAGCTTGAGCAATCTTTTTTAAAGATTAAATAGTAATTTTGAGAACCTATTGGAGTTGGATGTTGAATCTTAGTCTATTATTTTTGGGCTAGTTGGTTGTAAATTGAAATATTGGCTATAAAATTGAAAAGTAGGGAGCCCAATTATTCTTAAGTGAAATTTTCCCTAAAATTAATTTGCCGTATACTCTTACACATTATGTTCTGGGATTGGCTTTATTATCATTTTCTCCTTCTTTTTTTATAAAGGTATTTTATGAAGATTTTTCAGGTTACTTTAGCCCGACTTGATATAAATCTACTTGTGCCAAATAAATTTGGAGGATTTGTTTCAACAATTAATTATATTCACATTACGTTGTGTTGAATAATTGAAAGCATTCGTAAAATGTTGTTCGCACATGAAAATAATAGGGCAAAAAACATAATTGTGCAAGATTTAGAAAAAAATTACATAACCCTAGCCGCAACTATCAATTAACAAAACATGATAGCACATATTTTACATTCCATAACAGAATTCCAACTTACCAAATCACGTGTACCCGAAATTCCCTCTTTCCATACAACACTCCATTAATTATATCAATCCCTAGATTTCCTATTACCATAAAACACTATTATATATATTATTCTCTATTTTTTTATCTGAAATAATTCTAGTATTTTGTAAATTTTAATTAAAAATATTTATTTATACAAAAACAATAATAGTATAATGTATATGTTGCATGTAAATATTTATGCACATTTTATTTAGAAAATATTCCCGGTATATTTATAGAATAGGTATAAAATACATAAGAAATATATCAATATACATTAAATATTTAAGAAATAATTCTAGTATATTGCAAATCTAATAATTAGAAATGTTTAATTATACAAAAGGTATAATAATTTAAAATGTATATGCTTCTATGTTTATTTTCACATTTTATATTTAGAAAATATTTCTAATCTATTTAGAATTACGATTGCTTTTTAGTTGAAAGAGAAGGAAAATGGGAGAAGATGAAAAAGGAATGTTTTTCTTTACTAGGACTGCTGCTTTTATTTTTTAATTACTTAGGATTTTGAATAGGAAAGAAGATATGATATGAACGAGAGAGAAAGAGAAATAAGATTATAATGTAATCCCTAACTTTGGGAAAGAGTTAAGGAATTAACGGTTACTATCTGTTACATTTGTTATAAAAAGTGCAATTTATTGAAATAAATCAAATATTTGATATTAATTTAAATACTATTTTATAAGAGACCAACAATATAAGATACTAGGACTATGAGAGGAAATAAACATTTTAATATTCAAAGCCTACCAAATGATTGGACATTCTTCATAAAGTTGGTTGCTGGCGTCCTTTATGATAAAGATATTTTCATCTCTCAAAAAGTTATTAATCAACAAAAAGCAATTCTATGTCATAGTAATTCCTAGTATATTAAGAAGTTAGACAATTATTCGTTTGCAACATTTTCAAAGAAAGCTTGACACTGGGTCATTAATGTTGTAATCGAATGATCCATTTTTGGTCCTTTTAGTTTTTGCCTTTTTCCTTTTCTTTTCTTTTATTGCAGTGGTATTGGTGATTGGAATATTCATATATATATATTTGGTGCATAGTGATTCTCAATAAAGCTATGTCCACTGATCTTTCACTTTGATATTTCGAATACAAAATTCATCTTTTTCACCTCTAAGTACTTCAAATAAAATTGTAAAGTAATAAACTATCCACATTCTATCGCTATTAGGGAGCTTATTCATCTTAAATTATTATCACAATATTCGCAAAAAGGAAAAATCGCAAGATTTATCTCTTAGTTCCCTGTGACAAGATAAAGTTGGTAGCTTAATGTCAATATACAACTAATTTCATCACGTGATATATAATGTTCTTATAAAAGATTGTTAGTATTAATTTAATAATTTGAAATTTATTAAACCATTCTTGAAACACAAGTTAATATTGTCTCCAGCCATTATGTGACTGGAGACAGCGACGGCGGACTACATCAGGGAAGGACGAGAGAGGTGTTAGGGGTCACGAAGGGTTATCTTGGCGGGCAACAAGGCGACTGGTGGTGAAATGACGTGGTTCAAGGTAAAGTAGAAGCTAAGAAAGTGGCGTATCGTAAGTTAGTGGAGAGCACAAACGAGGAGGAGAAGAGAGCGTACAGAGAAAGATATAAGGTAGCTCGGAAGGAGGCGAAGTTAGCGGTCACGGAGGCTAAGAATGCAGCGCTCAGTCGTCTGTACGAGGAATTGGGGGCCAAAGGCGGGGACAAAAAGTTATTTCGGCTTGCTAAGGCGAGAGAGAGGAAGGCTCGTGACTTGGACCAAGTGAGGTGCATTAAAGACGAGGAAGGCAGAGTATTGGTAGAAGAGGACCATATTAAGCGGATACGACGGGCTTATTTTCATAAACTTCTGAATGAAGATGGGGACAGAGATATTGTGCTAGGGGAATTAGGGCACTCCGAGAGTCACCAAGACTTTAGGTACTGTAGGCGTGTTAAGGTGGAGGAGGCCGTGGGAGCTATGCGTAAGATAAGTAGGGGCAGAGCGACCGAGCCAGAAAAAATTCCGGTAGAGTTTTGACGGTATGTGGGTAGAGCAGGCATGGAATGGTTGACAGGGTTGTTTAATATTATTTTTAAGACGAAAAGGATGCCAAATGAGTGGAGGTAGAGTACGATGATTCCCTTTCACAAGAACAAATGTGATATCCAGAATTGTAACAACTATAGGGGTATCAAGTTACTAAGTCATATCATGAAAGTTTGGGAGAGGGTGGTGGAAGGGAGGATGAAGATGGCGATGTTTGTATCAGACAACCAGTTTGGGTTCATGTCTGGTCGTTCTACTATGGAAGTTATTCACCTTATAAGGAGGTTGGTGGAACAGTACAGGGATTGGAAGAAGGATTTGCACATGGTGTTTATTGACCTAGAGAAAGCATATGACAAGGTCCCTAGGGAGGTTCTTTGGAGATTCATGAAGGTGCAAGGTGTGCTGGTAGCATACATTAGGGTGATAAATGACATGTATGATGAAGCAAAGACTCGGGTTAGGACTGTGGGAGGTGACTCTAAGCATTTTCTAGTTATTATGGGGTTACACCAAGGATCTGCGCTCAGCCCGTTCTTATTTGCCCTGGCGATGAACGCTCTAACACACCACATTCAAGGGGAGATGTCATGGTGTATGTTATTCGACGATGATATCGTTCTGATTGATGAGACGCGAGGCAGCGTTAACGAGATATTAGAGGTTTGGAGATAGGCACTTGAGTCTAAAGGTTTCAAGTTGAGTAGGACTAAGAAATAATACTTGGAGTGCAAGTTCAATGACGTGACGAGGAAAGAGGACGTGGATGTGAGGCTTGACTCACAAATCATCCCCAAGAAAGGAAGTTTTAGGGACCTTAGGTCAATTATCCAGGGGGATGGGAAGATAGGCGAGGATGTCACGCATCGAGTAGGGGGTGGGTGGGTGAAATTGAGGTTAGCATCTGGAGTCGTGTATGACAAGAAGGTGCCATAAAAAATTAAAGGTAAGTTCTATAGAGCGGTGGTTTGACCGGTCATATTGTATGAGGTTGAGTGTTAGCCAGTCAACAAGTCGCATATCCAGAGATTAGAAGTAGCAGAAATAAGGATGTTGAGATGTATGTGGGGGCATACTAGGCTGGATAGGATTAGGAATGAGGTTATTCGGGAGAAGGTGGGCGTGGTTCCCTTGGACGACAAGATGAGAAAAGCGAAGCTCAGATGATTTGGGCACGTGCGGAGGAGAAGCCTTGATGCCCCGGTTAGGAGGTG